GAGAGAGAGAGAGAGAGAAGCAGATGACAGCTCTTCAGGAAATCAGCCCCAGTCCCAGCATGTAGCTCAGTTGGAAGAGGGCTTGCCTAGCAGGCTTAAAGCCCTGGGTTTGATTCCCAGCCCTGGATAAACTGGATGTGGCATACACATACATGAACCCCATCCCATCACTGGGCTTGTGGAAGCAGGAAGATCAAGGTTATCCTCAGCTAATAGTGTTTGAGGCCACATGGAACTCTGCATGCCAGTTCGCTTCTCCACCGTTGTCATGTACGCCATGACTAAAAGCCACTTGGCGAGGAAAAGGTTTGTTTTAGCTTGTAGCTTATTGTCCTTACAGCCCATCGCCATGGAAGTCCAAGGCAGGAGCCTGGAAAGCAGAAACCATGGAGGCGTGCTGCTCACTGGCTTGCTCCCATGACTTCTCAGCCCGGTTTCGGATACGACCCAGGACCTCCCACGTCAATCGTTCATGTAGAAAATGCCCTGCAGACCCAGGTCCCCAGGCCGATGTGTTTGCATCAGATGGACACAAACTAACTAACGCACCCATCAAAAGAAGACAACATAGTTGTCTAAGGAGTGTAGGTCCCTTCAGCCTTTTCAGCTGATGGCGTGTGCACTCTGCATATGGTCCAGGTGTCCCCAGGAGCAGCTCCATGCATTTGGAAGCAGCTCGGTATGTCTCAAACGGTCCTGAAGGGAGTTACAGGAGGGGAATGACTGAAAGCCAGGTGGAAATGATTCTGCTTGTTTGGAAACAAGGTCTCCTTTGGTAGCCCAGGCTAGGCTGGGACTTGCAATCCTCCTGTCGTAGCCTCCAGAGTCATTTATTTTTTATATTTCACAAATCTTTGCAGGGCTGGAGAGATGTCTCAGTGGTTAAGAGCACTGGCTGCTCTTCCAGAGGACCTGAGTTCAAGTCCCAGCACCCACATGGTGGCTCACAACCATCTGTAATGAGATCTGGTGTCCTTTTCTGGTGTGCAGGCATACACACAGACAGAACACTGTATACATAATAAGTAAATCTTAAGAGAGAGAGAGAAAACAAATCTTTGTAAAGGTATTAAAAAGTGCACAACTCATGTGTGTACTAACTTTTCACAAAGTGCACACATTTGTGTCACCAGCACCCATACCAGGAAACAGAGAATACCAATGACCCCAGGTCCTGGTCCCCAAAGGAGCCCACCAAATACTGATACACTGATTGATTCTATATGGTTTTAAATTTTGTGTGAACGGAAAGAGAGCCATATGCATTCTTTTGTATCTGGCTTCTTTTAATCTGATTTTTTTTTATATGCAGCAATGTTTGTCTGCATGTGGGTACCGATATTGTGTATGCAGTACCTGTGGAGGCCACCCAGGGACTAGAGAATGGGAATGGAACCTGGGTCCTCTGCAAGAGCAGCCTGTGCTTTTAACCACTGAGCCATATCTCTGGTCCCCTGTCAGCTTCTTTAGCTGAACCTTGTGTTCCCATGGCCATACGCTAGTGTTGCACGGTGTCCTAGTCTACCCTCCACACCTGAGATGGTCTTAAGTATTCCCATGTAACCCACAGTCTTCAAAATGCATCACTGAAGCATTTCATAGTATCTCATGGACTAGTCTACCCGCCTTACCTCATTAAATCACTCAGGATGTCAATAGTTCAATAGACAGACACTTCCACTCAAACAGCACTGGGGACTGATTATTCCGGAAATATGAAATTCCCTCTGACGTGATAAATTGGCACAAAGCCCAGACGTAGTTATGGCTCTTGAGGTTTTCAAAACTCTGACAGGATGTTGTTCTCGGACCTAAAGTTAGAACTTGCCATTGAGAATGTATTGAGGTTAGACACTGACACCGTGAGTCAGGACTCGCACACTGGCTCTGTAAGAGCAAAAGGTTGAAAGCATGAACAATCTCACTAGGGACTTGGTGAGCAAATCATGGTGCAACCAAACATGGGGTAACATACGTCCAGCCACCAAAACCATGAGTGGAACAGATAAAAGCATGGCGAGATGACCATGATAACACTGTAAGATAACATATGTAATTGTACTGGCTGTTTTGGAGGTTTGTTTTTTTAAGATTGATGTGAGTAGGGGGTTTGCATGTTAGTGACCAGATCCTCTGGAACTGGAGTTACAGGTGGTTGTGAACCATATGATGTGGGGGCTGGGAACCAAAATTGGGTCCTTTACAAGAAGAGTATGCACTCTTAGCTGGCTGAGTCATCTCTCTGGCACTTAGTTTGCTTTATTCTGTTTCGAGACAAGGGACGAGTCTCAAGGACTGGCCTTCAGCTTTCTTTGTAGTTAAAGATGTCCTTGAACTCCTGATCCTTCTGCCCCTCCCCGTGTGATGCAATTACAGGTGTGAACACCACAGCTGGATATGTTGGTGTCTTTTTAACAAGTGCGTGTATTTCCACATGTAGGAATATTTCCTTGGGATGGCTGTTTCAGACATAGAACTGATGTTTTTAAAGGTTTATTTGTTCTTGCATATATGAGTGTTTTGCTTGCATGTGTGTCTGTGCACCGTGTGTGTGCAGTGCCCAAGAATGCCAGAAGAGGGCAGCAGGTCCTCCAGGTCCTGAAGTTACAGAAAGTTGTAACCCATTGTCAGGGGAACTGACCTGGATTGTGTGCAAAGCAGCCAGTGCTCTTAACTGTTAGGCCTTTTCTCTCTCCAGCCCCTAGTCCTAAAATCTGCACAGGCTTTAACGTGCACACACACACACACACACACACACACACACACACACAGCTACACGGATGAAAGCACAGGTGCAGACCATAGTGACCCAGCCTCTCCCATGGTTTGCTTATTTTTATATTTTCAAAATTATCCCCAAAATCACATCAGTTGCATATTTTCAGAAAGAGGGAGCCGGGTGGTGGTGGCGCACGCCTTTAATCCCAGCACTCGGGAGACAGAGGCGGGCGGATCTCTGTGAGTTCAAGGCCAACCTGGTCTACAAGAGCTAGTTCCAGGACAGGCTCCAAAACTACAGAGAAACCCTGTCTCAAAAAAAAAAAAAAAAAAAAAGAAAGGAAGGAAGGAAGGAAGGAAGGAAGGAAGGAAGGAAGGAAGGAAGGAAGGAAGGGACTTGCTGATCTGTCCCGCAGAAGTTGGGAGCTATGTTGGGGCTGATAAGCAGACTCAGACAGGCGCAGTGGCACAAGTCTGCAATCCCAACCCTTGAGAGACAGAGGAGAATTGGGAGCTCAAGGTTATCCTGGGCTACATGGGAGTCAGCTCCTTACTACTGTGCCAGAACATCTGAAAAAAATCAACTTAAATGGGGAAAAGATCTGTGTGGACTCAGGGCTCAATCCTGGTGGCTTGTGTCTGGGCTCAGTCTTCATGGCTTGGGTCCCGGCTCAGGTCTCGGTCCTGGTGACTTGACTCCACAGCTGTGGGCCTGAGTTGAGATAGTGTCATTCAGAGAGGGCATGGTGAGTTGCCCCTCATGAAGGCTGGGAGGCAGAGAGAGATAGAATGAAAACACGGCAAGATGACCTTCAAAGGCCCGAGTGACCCACTTCCTTCCGTCAAGCCCCTCCCCCATACAGTTTCTGTCATTGCTCAATAATGCCATAAAGCTATAAATCCAGTGGCTTAATCTACTGATTGAGGTCCTCATGTTCCAGCCAAAGGTCAGCAATTCAGCCCACCAGCTGGGGTCAAACCATAAGCGTGTAAGGTTTTGAGGAGACACTTTCTGTCTAAATCATTTGTGACAAGTGCCCACTGGGGGCCTCCCAATCTGCGTGTCTGCTCAAGTCCTCACCGTCTCTGCTCTCTCGTAGTTTATATTTCAATTAATTCACTTTTTATTGTGTGTGTATGTGATGTGTGTGCGCATTTGTTTATGTATGTTCATGTTAGCATGAGCATGCCGTGACACATACATGGAGGTGAGAGGGCACCCTCCGTCTCAGCCCTGCCCTTCTACCTGGCCGACAACAGTCTCTCTGTTGTCTTCTCCCATCACACATAAGCACACACCAGGTTAGGGGTCTGCAAGCTTCTGGGGATCCTCTTGTCTCTGCCCATGTGGTTTCTGGGGACTCGTCTGTGTTTGCCAAGTGCTTCTACCCACTTTCGGTTCCCTCTTTTCTGCAGGTTCTGGGGCCATCGTGGCTGCCGTCGTGGTGGTCGTCATCATCATTGTCACCTTGGTTCTCATCCTGTTGAAGATGTACAACAGGTACAGAATGCCCAGGACTGCCTGGTTTCCCCACACACACTGCTCCCTCTTCTGGTTTACACATATACACACACACACACACACACACACTGCTCCCCCAACATGTGCAGGCACACACACACACACACCTTTCCCATTCTGGCTTACACATATGCAAGCATGCATGCACAGAGACACACACTCCTCCCCATTTTGTTTACATGCGCGCACACACACACTCCTCCCTCATTCTGATTTACACATGCACACACACACACACACACACACACACACTCCTTCCCTATTCCAGGTGCAGAATGTTAGCGCATGCCCAGGGTAGTTCCGCCCTCCTGCCCTCCTGGTCAGAGCTGAGGTTTAAACCCAATCCATCCGGTTTCAAAGAAAATATTCCCACCTTACCATGTAATAAGAACAGGGGATGTGGTTCAGTGGGTAGAGCACTTGCCTAGCATCCATGAAGGCCTAGGTTCGATTCCCAGCATGGCATGAATAAGTATGGTGGCCCTCAGGGGGTAAAGGCAGGAGGATCAGAAGTATAAGGTCATCCTCAGCTACATGATGAATTCGAGGCCAGCCTGGGCTACATAAAAACCAGTCTCAAACAACAACAGCAACAATAGTAGCATCAGTGTTATTTGTAAAGTCTTTGGGGGTGTTGTTACTCGTGAGCATCTTGGAAATAAGGAGGTGGCATTGAGGTCCAGGTCTCCTGTCATTCTGCCCATCATTGCTGAAACTCTGATTGACCTGTGGGTAGGTACCCCTTCACCTCACACTGGTTACACTGATGTCCTGGGACTGTGGACATTTTAAGTCTGTTCTCTTCTTAATCACATAAGATGTTCTTAAATATTCCTAGCAAAATGCTTAATGTGCATAATCATGCTACAACCCTTGAGTTCCACTTAGCCTTGAATGCAGCCCCTGCTCGGACTCCAGTCATTGTCAGGGGCAGAATGAAGCTTAGCAGTTTATTCTTTTTTTAATATTTATTTATTTATTATATATACAATAGTCTGTGTACATGTATGCCTGCAGGCAAGAAGAGGGCACCAGACCTCATTACAGAGGGTTGTGAACCACCATGTGGTTGCTGGGAATTGAACTCAGGACCTTTGGAAGAGCAGGCAATGCTCTTAACCGCTAAGCCATCTCTCCAGCTGAAGCTTAGCAGTTTAAACAGAATATCCCGAAGTGATCCAGGCTGGCGCCAAAGGTCCTTTTCAACTGTCACCAGTGTGACTTTACGAGCCATTGTCATGGAGCCCATTCCTCACTGTCTCTTACAGGAGAATGAGGACCAGGCGGGAATTGGAGCCCAAGAGCCAGAAGCCACCTGTGCCTCCTGCCCTGGACCCAAACAGCAACGGCAGCCAGCAGCCTGCGACTGTGACCTCTAACCCTGCAGACATCCAAGTGGAGACCCGGTGACCCTGTCCCAGTGCCGCCCCTGCCTCTGCAAGGAGCTTTTATGGCCCAGAAGCATGGTCTTCTAGCAGCTTCACTTGAGCTTTTTCTGGTTGGGTAAACTGAGGCACCTTTTGTATAGCCCTTGCAGCTTGAAGCCATCCTTAACTGCATTCTGCTCTGGCCACCCCAAGCTGTGTCCATATCCCTTCTGCCACTATACCAAAGAGCTAAGGACATTCTTTTGTCACCCGATGAGAAGCACTGTGCTGGGATACAGGTGTGAGTCTGGTCCTTGCCCCATGAATGCTACAGCTAAACAGACAGGCAGACATCTGAGTGTTCTGGTCAGGGGTCATCACCCAGGGTCTGCCACTTGGAAGCATCTTGTCTTAAGCATCATGTCCACAACATTGCAGAACAGATTCTCAATCCCATATTGGGTGCAGGGAAACTAACTCGGACTAACTAACCAACAAAACCAACTTGGTAACATCTAACCTATTCCAGTACTAGGTGACCTCGAGCCAGCTCACGAGGGCTGATTGGAACGCTCTCCCCCTTAAGGGACAGAGGGTACCAGAGACTCAACTTGGTAGCACAAGTCTGCCATTTCAGTCCTCAGTAGAGACAGGAACATTGTGATTACAAGGCCAGCTTGGCTGCACACGGAGATGTTAAAAATTACAGAATAAACAGTATTCTCCAGAAAATTCTACTTCACTAGTAGTCAGGAGAAGTTGCTCTGAGGAGTAGAGGCTAGCCCTGAGGAACAGAGGAGAGGCTGGGGAGCAGAGGCTAGCCCTGAGGAACAGAGGAGAGGCTGGGGAGCAGAGGCTAGCCCTGAGGAACAGAAGAGAGGCTGGGGAGTAGAGGCTAACCCTGAGGAGCAGAGGAGAGGCTGGGGAGTAGAGGCCAACCCTGAGGAGCAGAGGCTGGGGAGCAGAGGCTAGCCCTGAGGAGCAGAGGCTGGGGAGCAGAGGCTAGCTCTTGGATGAGACGTTGTTACAGTGCGCAGGGCCCTGGGCTGTGTGGTCGCTGCTCAGGACCCTCCCTGCTGCCCCAGGTGGACTGCCCCCACTCCTCATTTTCTGGCTCCTTCCTATTTATATGTTAAACTTTCTTGACAGTCCCCTTGCCTCCGGGACAAGTATTTTGTCCCGTTTAATTCTGTATTTTCTGTGTCCTTCCTAGTCACCTTGGAGAGACAATCAAAGCACAACACAGACTAGTCATTGTCTGTGACAGCTGATCTGTGGGTCCTGGGCCAGGGGATGCTCCTCTAACAGGGACAAACATTTCAGAATTAAGAGTTACACCCAAGCTCTACTCTCTTATTGACCTTGAAAAAGAGATTCAGGGGCTTGTGCGGGGACTCGGTGTGCATAGCCAAGTCTGACAACTTAAGTTCAATTCTCAGGACCCCCACGGTGGAAGGAGAGAACAGATTCCTGCAAGTGATTCTCTCATCTCTCCATGTGTGTTGTGGCGTACCACAAACCCAAGAAACAAACAAATTAAATCTAAGTAAAAGTTTTGTTTGGAAAAAAAAAAAAAAAGGTTACTGGGGACCTAGGGAGATGACTCAGTGGCCAAAAATGCTGGCTTGTACAAGCATAAGGACCTGAGTTCAAAGCCCCAGAACCCACCTAACAAGCTATGCATGGTGAGAGGCACCTGTAACCCCGGCACTAGGAAGAGGCAGAGATGGAAGAATCAGTGTGGCTTGCGGACTGCCAGCCTGGCTTCAGGATCAGTGGGAAAGCCTGTGTCGAAGGAGTTGGACAGAGAACAGCAGGGCACTCGGAGTCCTCCTCTGGCCTGCAGGTGTGCTCATACAGGAGCACACTCCACACACGTAAAGCAGACATACACACAAATTGTTTTTGACACAGGCTCTCTCTACACAGCCCTGACTGGCCTGGCAGTCATTATGTAGACCAGGCTAGCCTTGAATCCACTGCCTCTGCCTCCTGAATGCTGGGATTAAAGGTGTGCACCAACCACTCCTGGTTAAAAATATTTAAGTGATTCAGGCCTGGTATGGTGGCTCCCACTGAGAATCCCAGCAGAGATAGAGACCTAGGGGGATCAAGAGTTTAAGTTACACAGAAAACTCAGGCTCAGCCAGGGCTATGAGAAATCATGTCTCAGAAAAAAACAAACAAAACCCAAAAACCTCCCTTTGAGAAAAGTACTAGGACGTTCTCATGGTTCCTCAGCCGTCCGTCTTTCCATCCTTCTGTATCTAAATACCCATCAAGCCTCAGGCACTGTGAGGGCATCCACTAAGTTATCAGAATTCCACTCTCTCCAGGAGCCTAGGTCACTGTTCCACTCTCAAATGAGAATTTCTACTTCAGAAAGCGTAAGAACCTTCCAGAGTCACGTGGCTGGTGATGTAGAAAAAGGGCTCTATGCAGGCTAGGTCCCAGCTTGACAAGAGCCTTCTTCTCGGTCTGTCCTCCTCTTCCCACCCCTCCCCAAAGATGTCAGCTCTCTGGGAACCGATGAGGAGAACGGCACGGTCTTGTCCTTGTCCCGTGTGCAGCACAGGAATCTGGTTTCCAAGCTGAAAGCGGGGGCAAAGCCACTCCGGTGGCCTCCTGTGGGCTCTCATGAACTCTCTGTAACTCACCCGGGCTCTGAGGGCCCTGCTTCATCGGCTTCCTGCCTAGGCCCTGAGCAAGCCCCGACATATAATAATGCTTCCCTAACCATTTTGTTTTCAAAACAAACAAAACCGTGTGCCGCTAGAGACCCAGCTCCTTGGGGCCCTTCCCTCCATCCCCAGTACTTGAGGGGGAGGAATCAGCCTCAGTGTTCCAGCGTTAAAACTAACCTCTCCTGCCCACAGCAAGCTCTTTTGCTAACTAATGCTTGGGAAGGAAGGAGGGAGAAGGTGGACAGATGGTTTACGGTGGGAGCAAGGGAAAACGATTCATTGTTCCACTTTCCGATAATGAAGGTAACCCACTAGGGCTCCCCTAGTAGCTCTGTACACATCGAGGGGCTCCTCAACACAGGAAGACAGGGCCCCTGATTTCAGCTGGGGATGGCGAAGCCCCATCTGTTCCCTGTTCCGATAGGTACCTCTCTCACCTGGGCGGGTGCTCCTTCAAGTGGCCGCAGAACCGATGAAAGATAGTAAATGAGTCCGCTGTAAAATAAAGAGGTTTAAATCAAGCACGTGTTGTTCATTTCAGTTACGTGGCGGGCTAACAAATCTCCTTTCTAGAAACCCCCTTTCAAGCTGGGTGTGGTGTCTCAGAATCCCAGAACTAGAGGTCTGAGACGGGAGGATCGTCACAAATTCGAGGCCAGCCTGGGCTACATAGTGAGCTCTGGGAAAGAGTGAGTGGCCACCACCAGACCTTTCAAGAGTTAGGAAACTTGCTGAGTTGTGCGAATGTGACAATATGTCAAGGACCTGGGACCACTGGGGCTGTAGAAGATACACCACTATCAACTTCAAACCACCGGTGGCGATATATACCACAAACTGTGTCCCCACCATCTACCAGACACGCCACTGGCCATGTGAACCCAGCAGCGCCTTTGACCCTCTCTCCAGATCCCATGTGAACTAGATATGCAGTACACACCTGTAATTCCAGCCCTTGGGAAGCTGAGGCAGGAGGATTAAAAGTTGTTGGCTGGAGATGTAGCTTACTAGGCAGAGTGCTTGCCTAGCACACATGAAGTTCAGGGTTCTGTTCCCCAGCACGGCATGAAACCTGGTTTGTCAGTGCAACCTGTAACCCCAACATTTTGGAGGTGGCAGCCCGTGGATCAGAAGTTAAAGGTCATCTTCAGACATTTCGGGGCCAGCCTAAGATACTCAAGATTCTGTGTCAGTGACAGCAAATAATAACAAAATTAAATTAACTAATTGTGGTTTCTCTGAGCCCTTCACAGAGCAGGCTGTTTTGAGAATCTTGAGTTTTCAGTCATCGGGTACGTGTGCAGTGAGGTCTCAGAATGGATGGATTTAATTTGTATTGCATTCCCTGATAACTAGCGGGGCGTTCCCGATTTGTTTAAGGGCCACTTGAATATCATTGTAAAATTACCTTTCAGTTCAATCCAGTCTTTTAATTAGTTCATCCTCTTTCCATGTTGATGTGAAAGAGTTTTACAGAAAAAAAAAATTCATGTCGTTTGCCATCCCGTGGCTTGCCTTTAAAGACAGACTACATGCAATCAACATGGGAGACTTACCGCTCTCTGTGGCCTGTTGAGGTCAGAGGAGAACCCACTGAGGCAGCTCACTGATGGCTGATTGTCGTATACTAAGCCAACCTTACTTAGATAAACTAAGTCCTGCTAGGCATGATGGGAAACACCTGTCATGCTGGCACGCAGGAGCCAGAGGAAGGACTGTCACAAGCCGAGGCCTTTGTTAGGGTGCAGAGGACCTTGCTTCAGACCAAATCATCATTGTCGTCATCATCCCGCTTAAACATTGCATAAAACTTCTTATGTCTGTTGATTCCAGAAACAGAAGTCTGATGTGTTCATGTACTATTATAAATTGACCTCTGATACAGTGAAAATGTTCCTTTCTTCCTTCCTTTCTTCCTTCCTTCCTTCCTTCCTTCCTTCCTTCCTTCCTTTTTCCCTCCCTCCCTCCCTTTCTCTCTCTTTTCCCATGTATATACATACATACCTGTGTACAAGTCTGTTACCCTCGAAGGTGAAGGTATCCGTGGAGACCACAGGATGTTGATGCTCTTTCTCTGTCCTCTCCCTTTGAGGCAGGATCTCACGGAGTCTGGAGCTCTTCATTCTTTTGGCCCGGCTGGTGGCCCTAAGTCTCCATCTTCCTCCATGTGCTGAGGCTGCAAGTGTGAGCAGCCACGCCCAGCTATTTACATCAGTGCTGCGGGTCTGAACTCGGGACTTCATGCTTGCACCGCAAACACACTTCACCTGCTGAGCCATCTCCCAGACCTTCTTTTTTAAGTTTAAGACAGTGTCGGGGCTGGAGAGATGGCTCAGCGGTTAAGAGTACTTGTTGCTCTTCCAGAGGACCCAGGTTCAATGCCCAGAACCCACATGGCCTCTCACAACTGTCTGTAACTCCAGTTTCAGGGGATCCAACACCCTCACACCAATGCACATAAAACTAAATAAATTATTTTAAAAAAAATGTTGGGCTGGAGAGATGGCTCAGAGGTTAAGGGCACTGACTGGTCTTCCTGAGGTCCTGAGTTCAATTCCCAGCAACCACATGGTGGCTCACAACCATCTGTAATGAGATCTGGTGCCCTCTCTGGCAAGTGGGTATATATGAAGACAGAACACTGTATACATAATAAATAAAAATATTTTTAAAAAAATGTTTAAGACAATGTAGCTGAGGACGATTCTGAATTTCAGATCCTCCTGCCTCTACCGCCAAGCGCTAGGATGTGGATTACGGGCCTGCACACCTGCTTCACTACACTGGTCTCTGTGCCGTGAACCCAGGCACCACTCTACTCACGGAGCCACATTCCTGCCTGTCCTAGATACAATAAAGACAGCAGAAAGAAAAGCAGAGGGAAATCCAGGAGCTGAAGGAGGCCGGTCACGTGCCACTTCTCACTTTCTTGCTCAGTTTCCAGGGTACAAATCAACATCAGGGAAAAACAGACATGGCCTGAAACCCATTAGAACTTGCCTCTCTCAGTGGAGAGAGACAGCTACCCACCTCACAGAAGAAGCCTTTGTACGGTGGAAGGCCCTTGGCGTCCTG